TCAGGTTCTCCGGGAAATGTCTCTTGTAGCCAACTCAGCCTGGATCCACATAAGGAAGTGAATTCAGGGAAGCAGCGCTCAAGCTTAGTTAGGTTTACACACTACAAAATCACTTCCGTCCCTAAAATCATATCCACAGGTAGCTTTCCAGATCTATTTACTGCCCAGTAGAGACGCTGAAGTGGCGGTAGCGGTGGGGCAAGGATGTGACGAGGGGAGGGGAGGAGGTGAAGGGCACTTTCTTGATCATCTTCAGAATGTGTCTATAAGAGAAGACCAGAAAAGCCAGATAGACGATACATATGGATCATGTGGTTATATATCCAAACGTTTATAAATACATGTGTCCGGGAAGAAAACTTTACGATTGGACCAAAGTTATGTCTGGGAGGTACTGGAGGATACTCGAGGGTTTGTGAGTGCCCTGGCTTCCTCTGGGTGTCATGGCAACCCCTACCCCCACCCCATGCTCCTCTCTCCTTCTCTGAGTGCTGGGCAGCAAAGGGGGAAGGAAGCCATGGGAGAAATGGACAAGAGTGAGCAGAAGCACCTCACAGGCCAGAGAGGGAAGCCCCTAAAAGCACAGTCATGAGCTTTCTTCTTTGGCAGAAGCCAGTTGCCAAAGTGCCAGACTGGAATGGAACACTGAGGCTTTAGGCCACCAAAGGCGTGGGCTTGATTCAACAAACATTTCCTCTCTGTGGGGGAGCAGTGGGCGGGGTGAGATGATAAAAGTTGGTGCAAGGCAATTCTTTCCAAAGCCCAGACCTTGAAGTGACCCCAGGAGGTGTGGATGTGCCTGAGGTTTGCTCTTCTCTCCTTGTTAGACAGATCTGTAGTCCAATGGGAACCTTTACCGGCCATGTGTACCCGGGGCTGTTTCTAATCTCATATGGACTGTATCAGGCAACAGTGGTCTCCAAAGCGGTGATAGTCAGCGACTCTCTCCCAAATTCGTGTCTTCCCAGGAATAAGGGAAGATGGGTCAGGCTATGGGAAATATCCTACAGGGGTTTGCTGAAGATGGTGACTGGCTCCATCCTGATAGCTTACGAGATCAGCTGCACTAAAGGAGGGCTCATACTGATGGACAGGGAGCTGCCACCGAGATTTATGTACCCCAAAGAGTGGCAGCACCTCACCATGTTCATCCTCCTCACCCTCAACGGCTGCGTTGATGTCATGAGCAAGAACTTGCTGCCTCAGAGGTGTGTGCTCCTAGAGAGAGGCGCCGGGGCCCTGACCTTCTATGTGCTCCTGATGCTGTTGGTGTCACACGTTCAGGGCTCAACAGGGGTGGAGCTGCAGACTCATTGTCTCCTCATCTTGGTGGTGTTCCTGCTGATGCTGGTGTTGACCATAGAGCTGTGGGCTCCCGATGCACTTCATCTCTCACTGATCGAGACCTTTCTGTTTCTCATGATGGGCTCCTGGCTGGTGCAAGCGGGCTTTATTCTGTACAGACCAGTGTCCGGCTACCCATGGCAGGACGACGACATCAGCGACATCATGTTTATCACCACCTTCTTCTGCTGGCATGTGATGATCAATGCTTTGTGCCTGTTGGGAGTCTACGGCATCTCTTCCTTTTGGCATCATTGGTATAATCCCAGCTTGACGCTGACGGGGTCCACAGAAGCGCCATATTACGTGAGCACTGAAGGGACCATCTACAAATTGCTGCCGGAAGTGGAACAGTCAGAGAAAGATGAGCAGGCTCTTCTCCTTTCAGAGAGCGCACCCTGAGACAGGGCCTAGGATGCCTGGCACATTGTTCCCCCATCTTCCTCCTTGTGGGTTCTCTCAGGCATGTGCACTGTCCCCTCTTTTGTCCCCAGTGAAGGTAATGGCCGTGAAAGAGAGCAATTGGTCTTCATCTGCTGGTACATCTCCTGTCCTTGAACCTCTGAGTGCTGAGGAGATGAGGAGAGAGGGGCCTGAGAAAGGGATGCTGATGGGATTGGTGTAGGGGGAGCGGGCGCAGAGAGCCATGGGAATGAGCAAGTGTGGAAGAAAAGCCATGGGGTTAGAGAATGCAATAGAAGGGAGGCCTCTGAAGGGGAGAGGAGAAGCCAGCAGTCATGCTGCCACCAGCTGCTTCTCCAGGCACAAATGATTACCTTTTGCCTGAGGGAATAATGATTTCTCACAATTCAAAACTGGAATCAGTCAAGTCTCATCCTGATAAAGAAAAGTGCACACCTCTGTTTGCACACCAAAGTGGTGCCACCACGTGGAAGTAGCCTATAGAGCATTTATAATTGATTCACACAGGGTGAAGTTATGCTCTTTTGCCATTCCCCTCCCCAAATTTTTAAGGATTGGCTTAATTTCAAATTCAGATTAATAAAATGAGACTTTATTCATGCTTTAATATAGTAACATTTAAAAACTGAAATATTTATGGAATCCAAATGTTCAGTACTTCCCCAACTTCATATTTTATTACCCCTATTTCAGCCAAAGCTTACCCATTCCACCACTTTGGCACATGTAATTTACTAGATCCTATCCATGGGTCTTTGCAAATTTCGCTCTCTGTGTCGCACAGAAAGCCATTCACAAGCACATTTTTATCCTGTTATTTGGTACCCAGCATAAAACCCACCTTCACCCCCACCCCACTGAGCAGCCCCAAGAACTCTTACTGACTCCTTTCTTCTGGAACAATTAGCCACCTTGCTAATTTGCTCATACAGCTGATACACTTTGCTTTGCTCCGTTTCTGAAATCATTTCCCTGTGTAGGCCTTCACTCACCACCTAAAGTATAGGCTCTGAAAGGACAAGGGCTTTGTCAGATCTAAGTCACACCATTTCCTATGTATGCGCCAATCATGTAGCACAGGTGGTGCTTAATAAAGGCTGATTTGCTTCCAGAATCGCCACCTACCCCTATTTCTTCTAAATGTATCGCCAGACAGGTCCAAGGTCCTATGAAACTTCACAAGACACCAACTGTCCGAAAGCCGAGGTCATCTTCTTTGTTACTCATGGGCCCACTCTTCCTCATTCTTGGGATGACAAAATCCACTACCCTGTTTCTGAATGATTTACTGTTAATTGTTTTTGAACCCTCACAAGCATTTCTATAAGGAACCTTCAGAAAACTGAGACTCAGCAGGTTGACTTGCTTACAGCTGGTATGAGGCAAGGCAGAAAGGAAAAAGGTCAGCCAGGAGGCCCCGCTGCAGCAAGCGGCAGAGTGTAAATGCTCTAGACGCCCCCTAGAGGGTGTGTCTATGTCACACTTTCTGTCTACCACCCAGCCCCCACCCCCACCCCACCCCACCCCCAATCCCTTGGGACTGAAAGTCTGGCAGATTCTCAACTTCTGGCTGGGTCTTAAATTTCTGGGCTCAGATCCGAGTGAGGGCTGAGGATAAGACTTGTTTGTGACCAAGTTTTCTGATCCTTACTATTCCCCCTTAACCCTTGACAGATACTTGTTCCTAGGCTCTTTTCAATCACGTTTCTTGGGGACCCCGTTTCTCTCCACTTCTGGTACACCCTGATGAGGGAAGATGTGAAAGCACAGGTGCTGCTAACCACCCATCTCTGGTCATTTGAGGCCTAACTTTATAATGTTCAAGAAACCTCTGGCAATCAATTGATACCTCCAAGATAATATCTCTTAAGTATCCAGTATAGATAATAAACTTGTGTTACTAATTCACTATATTTGAGATATAACAGAGAGGCTCTCCCCCTTGAAGGCCTGTCAAGAAACAGCTGCCCACTCTTAAGCTTCCGGTGAGAAATATGTAATTCTCACAATATTCCACCAGAGGGCACTACGTTCACACCACCGACCCAAGCCTCTATCTCCATCCCGGTAAACAAGTCTCTCAAAAACCGGTTTAAAAGTGGGGGGAGGGGAAAGGAGGTCAGGAAAAATACAGAACCAGAATAAGTATTGCCCAAGCATCCAGAAAACATACCCCAGGGCTGTTTGTTTCCCGTTAAAATTTGGCATGTGAACGTGAAATGCACAAGGATTCCCATCAACTAATGGGATGGGAGTGAAATAGGCAGGAGGGCTGTGGACCCAGTTGAGGATATCTTTGGGAAAAGTACCAACTAAAGGGACACATTCTGATCTAAGCAATTTTTTGACTGCTAAATCTCCGAAACTTTTTCTTAAGCTTCAACGATGTTCCCATGAATCTAGGGAACAAAGACAGATCCATACACACATTGAGACTAAGAAACAAAGTTTATGGACGAAAATCCCAGATTCACAAAACTATGTAACTAGGGGATTATTAAATATGCAAAATGATCTCCAAAGGGCCTTCTAAGTAGAACTGGCCATAACACCATTTTGTTTCTGGTAATCTAGTTGTTCACAAGCATAGTGAATATCCACTATATGTAAGGCGCTGGGTAAGCCACAATGTAGGGGTCAGAGGTGAACTGGCTGGTCCCTGCTCTATTTATTTCAGTGGGTACAGTAGGGATTTCAGTGTTTTCGAGGTGCTGGCCAAGGAATGCATCGTCCGCGCCCTGAGACTAAAGGAAAGAGAATGAGGTGTTTCAGGGAGTTACACCTTGGAAGCACACGAGGCTGAGAAAATGCCCCACCAAGGTGACGCCCGCAAGCTACAAGTTCTCGGGGCCTCAGTTTCCTCATCTTTACGCCAGAATAACGTGAAGATCTAATTCTAGAATGACACAGCTTTAATTTTCTCAAAAGGACTTCTTGTCCCATGTTGTTAGCTAAGATGAACTTAATTCTTCCCAATTCTGCAAGCAGTTTCCTATTGGAGACAAGATTTAGGGTAGGGTTCAAACAGACCCAAACCTTCAGCCTTAACGTGCAGTTTGAGAAATGGAGTGTTTCCTGTATTCGAATGGTTTCAGGGGGCCTTCAACAAAACTTAAATCAGGCTAAGGAAACATAGCTGAGACTTGAACTTCTAATTTCCTGAGTTTAAGGGTCTCAAACAATCAGAAAGGGTATAAAAAGAAAAAAGTCACTGTGTTCAGGCTTAGGTACTGAACTGAGGTGAAACCTGGTCATCTTTAATTGTGTAGTGAAATCTGAAAGCTTGGTCAACTGCAGCGTTTTCCTTAAATCTGGTTTAAGAGGAATGATATTAATTTCCAAAGCTGTTTCTTTTCTTATTTGTTTTATTTTTGTTTCAAGGTTATACAATGGTCTGTTCTTTTGGAAAGACTTGGTGTTGGTTTATTGAAAACCAAACATTGTTTACAATTTGGCATTGGGGTTTCTAGGGTGTTTCACAAGCGTGGGTCTCAGCTATGTGCCTTTAACCCGATTAAAGGGTCTTTCTGTTGAATGCCTATTGAAATCATTCAGATATAGGGAAAGCACCATTTCCCAAGCTGCATGTTATATAGCTGAAGGTTTGGGTCTGTTTGGGCCCTACCCCAAATCTTGTCTCTAACGTGGGCCCTGGGAAGGCACCTCAGATCGCCAGATTAAGGCCTTCCAATTCGCAGAAGGAGAATGGGTCCTTCAAAAAAGAGAGAAAGAAACTGAGAGGTGAACTGACAAGTAAAGCCCACCCAAGACAAGGCCTGTATTTCAGGCGACAGAACAACATCAAAAAAATGTTTTTAGTCCCCGGACATGTCTCAGATTTGGAACAAAATCTTGACCTGTAATATTGCTCTCCCACTCCTTGGGCATAGCTACTCTCTACTAGGTTAGAAAAGCCTGATTTCAAAGCACGTGTAATAGAATCCCGTGGGCTTTGATACTGAGTGTACCAAGAGATAGAAGAGTTCATGGGTTCAAGCATTCTAATGCTCTTTTCAGGGAGGGGGTGGGAAATGGGGGTGGGTGGCAATTTAGGGAAGAAAGAGAAGGAGAACAAAGCGCAGCAGACACAGCAAAGTCAAACTGGATCAAACAGGCTGTTCCACTTTTAACTTCTCCAAAAGTACAGTCTGGGTTCCCGGGGGGTGAACCAGTTAGTTACAGGCCTTTTTTTCCTGCTTTTTCTTCTCTCAGACACTTGTAAGCTTCCCTGATCAGTCTTTGGACACGTTTGGACCCTATTTCTGTCGGTTTAAGTAAGTGTAGGGCGGACAAGGAGGACAAGGCCTCTTGTTCCCTCCTGAAAGACTCTGCAGTCCCGTATTGTGTCGCTAACCCTCACAAAGTATGTCCCTGGTCACATGAATGGATCAAAGCAAATCTATTTCCATTCTTGGAAAAGCAGCTCAAAGCACATGTTCTCTTGATGGTGCCGCTGTCATTTCGGTGTGGTCAACCAACATCACTTACTGAACACTCACCCGGGTGCTCCTGGGGGAGGCAAGATGAAGAAGAAGAAGCTACGCAAGGAGGTTAAGATACCTAGCAAGGGGAAGCAGGCACTCACAGAGCAAAACATGATGCCACAAGCTTTAAAAACTGCACTTGCTTCTACTATTCCATTTTCTAGTATGTCGGCCATCCCCACCTCAGGTGCTAGAGGTGATAAGCGCAGTAGGGGGCTCTGGTTTATGCTTGGGCAGTTTGGCAGCTGGAAATCAACATCTTTTTAAATAAGGACACCTTTTCCCTGCTCCAGTCCCTCTCCTCAACCACTTAAACTCACGACTTTACAGAGAGAAATGGAATGAAGACACCTTACTCAGTTACCAGGTCTAAGCCCACTCTCCTAAAGCTAACAGTGGAGCATTACACTGAGTTGGAAAGTTGTCCCTCATGGGTTGTCACGGGGAAAGAAAGAATCCAATCTCTTCGCGTTATCTTAGCCTATAATAATATTACTGTTTTCTAAACTATGTTCCAGATACAAGCCTCATCTCATTGGCATATTCTGTCACGATTAATTCCTACAATATTTTGGAAGGAAACTGAGGCTTCCTGTGGCTAAGTAACTAAGCCAACACAAAGCTAGTAAGAGGTAAAGGCCACATCTGAACCTAGGTTTG